TAACCAACTCAAACAAGTTTTTGCCTCTGTAAAATTTGACCTAGATCCAGAATAGTAAACGAAGCTTGTTTCTTTTGCCATTTGTCTTTCGTTGCTTCGTTCGATTTGGTTCTTTTTGCCAACCGAAGTCTTAAGTTGAACTTTCTGGTTAGATCTCTTATTTCAGTTTTACCTGTGCATTAGTGGAGTTCTTATTGTATGCTTGTTTGTTTACGATAGAGTACCCAGAGTGCGCCGCTTGCTACTTCGAATCGCTAGGTTTTGCGGATCATCAGCAAGGCAAGTAACATTTTGATCATACCTCCTACTACCTAGTTTTTATTGCATTTAGATCAGCCCTCACACATTGCATGATTAGGGTCTAATTAAATTGTGGGTTTGGGAAGTAGATGAGGTAGTACCTATCACCTGTTTTATTATCAAACCTTTGGGAGTTACTTCTACGTTTGCTTATGCCATGCTATGCTAGTAGACGTGGATTGGGTGAGTGAAATCCATGACAGATGTGAGTTTGTTAAATTAATGGTTTATCTAAGGTGGCAACTTAAACACACATCTGGGTGGACTGAGGCACCTGGGTATTCCAGCGATTGCCTGTTTTCTTTTGGACTGCCACCCAGGCTCAAAGGGATCATGAGATTATTCATACTAGAAACTTTCGTGTGCAGCCACAAGCTACTATGGGCTCTAGCATAGTTGACTAAGTTGTGCGAACTCTTACAGTGGTAGACTAGCAGATGTAGGGGAAAGTAGGTGTAACGGTCTACCCGATCGTAAGGTATTAGCGCTTCTGAAAGACTATGTCTCGGTCATCCGTTTCTCAAACACCATGTAGTGCGAGAATCCCAATGGAGGTGATCGAGTCTTGTGGGGAAAAGTGCGCAAACCTCTGCACAGTGTATAAACTAATCATGGTTAGCCGTGTCCCCGGTTATGGACATCTTGAGTATCTAGTACTTGGATTATCATGTGAATCTCATCATGTTACTCTAATTAATTTGTTGGGTTTGTTTAATGATGATGTTTAATTGGGATTGAGAGGGTGTCTACACTCTCAATGTTTAACAACCACCTTGATAGTTAAATAAAATTTATTCCTTTGCAGTAGGGAAAAATTGACTTTACGCAAAACTGTAACCATAGAGCTTTTCATCAACCAAATATGCATGTAGTATAGCTTTATTTTTTCCATTATTCTCTATGTGTTACCTTGCCAGCATATTCCATGTGCTGACCCATTTCGGACTGCAACGTTCATGTTGCAGACTTCTCAGACGACGAGTAAGGTGTTTTTAGGTCGTGGTTCTATACTTAGTGATGCCGTTGGAGTTGATGGACTCACTTATCTTCCAAGCCTTCCGCTGTTATCGTTATTAGATGGCCTTAAGCCATATTTATTGTAATAGTTCTTTTTTGAGACACTCGATGTAATAAGTGTGTGATTGCTACTCTGTTATAAATCCTTCAAGTACTGTGTGGTGTCAGCATTACTGATCCAGGGATGACACCGGAGCACAAAGATTGGACCGTTTGAGGTCTGGTCGCTACAAGATGGTATTAGAGCACACGCTGACTGTAGGACATGACCACTAAGCTAAAGCCATAGATCACTACTCACTCTTCTCATTCTGACTCCTCATCTTTTCTACTCTTTTAGGATGGGGATGCAAGGAACAAGTTCACGCAACCGGATGACACCGGAGCACAGAGATTGGACCGTTTGAGGTCTGGTCGCTACACTTCTGATCCAAATGATATGCCTTTTTCTACTTTGATTGAGAATAATAATGAATCTATGGATGTGATTTTTGTTAGTAGGAATAATTTTGATAACAACGCGTATAGAGGAAACTTTAATCCTAGGCCGTTCCCTAGTAATTCCTCTAATAATTATGGTAATTCCTACAACAATTCTTATGAAAATTTTAATAAGATGCCCTCTGAATTTTAGACTAGTGTTAAGGAGTTTATAAATTCGTAAAATAATTTCAATGCTTTGCTTGAAGAAAAATTGCTTAAGGTTGATGAATTGGCTAGGAACGTTGATAGAATTTCTCTTGATGTTGATTCTTTGAAACTTAGATCTATTCCACCGAAGCATGATATCAATGAGTCTCTCAAAGCCATGATAATTTCCATCGACGAGTGTAAAGAAAAAACCGCTAGGATGCATGCTAAAAAAGATTACTTTGTGAAAGCTTGTTCTTCTAATTTTTATGAGAACTAGTTGACCCGTTGCGCCAAATGGCGCAGAGACCCGCTAAACCCATGTTCGCGATGAAAATAGTTTCCTTTAGTAAGGACAGGCGATGTATATACTTATTGTAGTTCGGTAGTAGAAAGTCATATCTTAATCCATATGCGCCTTGAAAAAAACATGGTTTAGTTGATTTCGTTGTGGACAAGCACATGTGGTAACAAATTTAATCTCTTTTAATAAAAAGGAATGTTGTCTTGCTGTCTACAATGAGATGTACTTCCTCCGTTCCTCTATCTAAGGTGTGATTTTTTGGGCATGGTGACCAAGGCAACAAATTATAGATACATTAGTACAAAATTGCCCTTGTCAAATTTGTTGATTACTCAATACCAATCAGGGGAGACATACTTTCCTCTTTTTTATAAAGAAAGATACAGACAATCAGGAGAAAGATACTTTACTCTTTTCTACATAGGTAAAAAAAGGATTATGACGAATTAGAGAAATGTACCTTACATTGTAGAAATTTATCAAAAAAACAAATACACCTTATATAAAGGATCGAAGGGAGTACGTACATATTACAATTTGATAGTACAGACTCATTCAAAACCATGTGTGTTGAAAATATGAGTATTTTTTAGACAATCTTTTGTTTGAGCAAGCAAGTACGGTAAGAATTTACATCCCTATGTAAAAACAATACATTCTTTTTGCTTAATAAGAATATACATATACCTAACACCATGTATAAACCACATAAGAAGCCCCTTTTAAAAAAAGTGTTTCTGTAAAAGAAATGTGTTTGAAAAAAAGACTGTTTCTATGCCACTTAGACGCATGTCTATTCGGATGTAGTCGCATGGTACTCAATTCGGCCCACAAAGTGTTTTCTTCGGCCGACCCGCTTGAAGCACAATATGAAAATACAGGGAGTAGAAAATAATTAGACAAACAACATAAGAAAGCTAGATCTAATGTGTACAACTTAGAAGCTCTCTTGCTCCTCTTAAGAACTTAAAAGCTCCTTTCTTTTCGTTTCGTTTCTTCTCTTTTCTTTTCTCAACAATACGTGTTGGGAGACCAGCTCATGAACAGAAAGCATTCCACCCAGGATGCACATACTTAATATGGTTCGGCTCATAACATAGCTGACATTCATTGTTTCAATAGTGCTTTGGCAGATGCAGTACAACCAAATTCTCTACTTTTTAATGTCCAATTATATAAAAAGTTGTGCAGCCATACCCAGACAGATGAACTCGGTTTAACGGTAGACGAAGATCAGAACTTCTAGGACTGATAGACGATGCAGATATAGGCATAACATCATGGCTCCGCTTTTGTGGTAGCATGCTGGAGAGACCTAGCTAAGATACTATGCAGACTACAACGAAATAACTTCATTATAAACATATGTTCTCAGACTGGTCCTTGCTTTGAAAAGAGAAGCAAGAAAAGGATTATATTCAAACACATGTCCAACCTGCAGGCAAACTACACTTGCACAGAGATACCTAGCTAAGATACTATGTAGCTGCAATGAAAGAACTTCATTATAAACATATGTTCCCAGCCTGGTCCTTGCTTTGGAAAGAGAAGCAAAAAAGAAAAGGATTATGCAATAGACACACCAAACACCAAGGCAATGCACAATATTCACTGATTTTACTCATATTTTCTGACGACGCATCTAAACTGGCCCTAAACATTATATTATTTAACGATAATGAAAGGAACTTCTTAAGGCACTCAGTCCCAGGTTATGATTCTACCACCTACCATTTTTACACTCTGTAAAATGACCATGTCAGTACTGATTTTATATGAAGCTACAAAGAGATAATAATAATAATAATAATAATAGCGACATTGATGAAAACTGAAATCACAATATATATAAAAATGGGTGTCACACCTTCCTTGTTACGTCGTGGCAGTAGTACCTGACCTCTATTCTAATAAAATCATATTATAACAATTTGCATATAGAGAATTATATATTGTGTGTGTGTGACCTCTGTTATAATAGAATTATATATATGCTTCACCCAATGTGCCTACAGTTTTTAGAATGTAAATTTTCCCATGTTTTGAGAAACCATTTTAGGACTGCAAGAATTATCAGGGCAGTCTATTCTATGCGATTCAGTCAAGGTGTTGGTATCAATTACGATAACAGCAATGATACATGTGTGTGCCATATCCACTGTGAAATGAACTGAAGTACTCGGGCCCCAATATTTCATACTGAAAATCAGTAGAAACTAAAAAGAATAAATTGTAATTAGTTTTGGTAGAAACATATTTCACATTATTTTTAATTAAGCGGAGCAGGGGAATTTCCTCAATGAGATGGGCCGGTGTGTTCAGAAGCAATTGTGATCCGCAGAAACATCTAAACTGTCAGGATGCCGACAACATAGAGCAATGGAATAAATGCTCACAAATGAAATGACGGTGAAGGGGATATGAATCTTGGCTCTGGATTGAACAAAGTAAATGGGATAAGCTCACCTTGCCGCATAGACAACGGACGCCCAACTTCAAGAAAAAAGGCGAGTACGCCTGAACATAGCAAGGCATCCGGATGTCTAAAATGCACCTCACCTACTGGATTCACCCTCGCCTCAATGAAAGAAATATAGCCCAACTCAACCCTAAATATGAAGCAAAAATACATAATGAAACATGTTGAACCTGCAATGAATGAATGAATTGTTTGAACCTACACTGGATAGCTCATGTCCAATTGTCCATCCATCCGTACGCTACTTTCTCATCAGAACGTCAATCCCAATTATCTTCTGCTGGAAATATAACTTTATATTAGTCAGCTGAAACAACACCTTAACTATCCAAGGGGTTTCCTAATACGCAACACTCTCTTAGAACATTTGAGGAACAAATCAAGGGAGATTTTCAAATCAGCATTACATGTGTAAAGTCATAATCTCTGAACATAATAGATAGCGTAGTAGAAAATTTGAAAAGCGCAAAAGTAGATATTAAAGATAGCACCATCAGCACTAATGTATCTAAAAGTGCACTGATGCCTAGTATGTAAAGTGACCTAGAAAAACTCCAGCACATAAAAGATGTGACAAAATAAAGGGGAAACAACAATCCTCCTCAAGAAATAGTGCTGATAGGTAGACATATTCCTTTTCATGTACTGTGGTGCAAGAGTTGCAGAAGAAATCAGGCTCACCTATCTTGGAAGGGTCCGATTGCTCTAGGGAAATCAAGCCACAATATCTCCGGCCACAGAACCAAAACAATATGCCCTATCTTCATTTTCAGACTTCCAGTCACAGGAAACTGTATGGGCCAAAAATAATCTTCAGAGAACATAGCAAATAATAAATAAGCAAAAGGATCATCCCTGGAAATGCAATACATGTTGCAAAACAGTCAAGATCGTCTGAAAATATACACATCTTACCCTGCTGCTTGTACTCCTCGACGACTTGCTCCTTCTTCCTGTCGTTGGCCGTGTCCCCTCCCCTGCAGCCATACCCCATTGCGGAGGAGTGCCGCTGCTTGCACTCCTCGATGGCATGCTCCTTCTTGCTATTGTTATCCACCTCTCACCCCCTGCAGCTCCACCCCAAAAAGCGCAAGGTCACAATTTATATTTAGAGCTATTTGAAAAGTTTTGGTCCCAAATTCGTTTTCACTTTTAGTCCCAACAAAAATATAGATCTGCTCTGTAACTAATTTACATGACATGACGATGGCATCAATACATATCCATCCATTACAACATGAACATTTATATTTATTCTGCGGAAAACAACTGGACATATAAGGGAATATACTAAACCGAAACGGAAAAAAAACATGGCAATCTCTTTGCATAATCTGGAATGCAAAAAGGCATAGCTCCCAACTCTTTGCATAATCTAGCTTGATACATGTTAGCTTTTCCATCACCAGAGAATACTAAAACTAAATGCAATTTCATGATCACAAAAGTATATTTATGTAGCAGGAACATATACCATAATAACTTCAATAATAGGATTGGTAGCTAATCACATTACAGCTAACGGCAGCTATCCAGTTGCTTCAATAATAGGACTGGTAAACATGTGACCAATAACAATACTTCAAACTAATTTAAGATGACTACCTCTATGAAGTCTGGGGTTAATCCACATAAATAAATTACAGAAAATCCTATACTTCATGGGGTGGAGAACAAACCAAACCTACCGTAGAGTCCTTTCCAGCTGGATCTGGCGTTGCTAGCCATCTGGGAGGCGCATCCATTGGCATAGGGTAGCAGGACGACAGCTCCTGGCCGTCCAGCTATCTGCCTAGATGAAGATGGCATACTTTCCTCTGCTCCATGGAAGCCATCGACGTGATGAACAGCAAGTCGAAAAGGAACTGTAAAAGGAAGGAATCTAGGGGGAAGTCAGCGCCAAATAAGATCAACAATGAAGAAATCCTCCATTGTTTGCCCACGAATTAGAACAGACAAGAGGGGAAATCAACAGAAAACAAATCACACGGGAGAGAGGAGAAAGGTAGTCGAGCCTACCTTGGTGTTGTGTATCGTGGCATCGAGCAAGAGCGGCTGGCTCCATGGCGTCAAAAGATCTGCAGCCGGGATGAGACGAGGATACGCCGCAAGACTCCCTCTTCCCCTTCCTGTGTGAACTTCTTCTTTCACTCCCTCGATTCACATCTTCTCCTGCTCCCTCTCACTCGTTGCCCTCCATCTCCGGCGGATCCATGGCGGTGGAAGCTGGTGGGGCGAGGTGAGATGGCGGCAGTCCAGCAATCTTGTCGCTCAGCAGGGGCCGATACATGACGCAGCCTCAAATCAAGCGCCGCCGCCGTCGCCCTTCGCCTGCAGGTCGCCGACGCCGTCGCCCTTCGCCTCCGCTGCCCGCACGTCTCGGGTCCATTCAGGGATGAGCGGGAAGGGGGCTGGATGAGATGTGGGAGGGGGCGCGAGAGGATGGAGGAGGAGGGCAGCTGCGGGGTCGGGGGAAAGGGATGCGGGCGACTGCGGAGGAGCCGCTGTGGGGTTTGGTGTGGTGGTGACGATGGGTGCAGTGCCTCCTGAGGCGCTCGCGTCAGCCACAGAAAGACAGATGACTGCTCACATATGACCACGCGCTTGCAACATACTGATTGGAGTTGCACCTGTTCGGAACACCCACAAGTAACATGCAGAACTATAGAAGCAAATGGGCCACAAGTCAGCCAAACGTGAGAACAAAGCAGAAGTAACATTTCTTACCACGCGGTCAACTGATCCAACATCCAGCAGCGGAAGTCAAAGCCCATCCGATGGCCACGAACGCGCCAATCCGGGGGAGCTTCGTGGAGGAGGGTCGGCTAGCATCCTTATAGGTTTAAATAAAGATGAAGATCTAAAAGTTATTGATGTGTCTCCTATTAAATCTTTGTTTGGCAATATGAATCTTGATAATGAGGGGACTGATGAGCCACCTTTACCTAGAAGGCGTTCCAAAAATTTGGAGTTTTTAGATCTTGATGCGAAATTTGGTAAAAGTGGGATTGAAGAAGTTAAAACTTTAGATATCAATGAACCCACTATTTTGGATTTCAAGGAATTTAATTATGATAATTGATCTTTGATAGATTGTATTTCCTTGTTGCAATCCGTGCTAAATTCTCCTCATGCTTATAGTCAAAATAAAGTTTTTACTAAACATATCGTTGATGCTTTGATGTAATCTTATGGAAAAAAACTTGAGTTGAAAGTTTCTATCGCTAGAAAAATTTATGATGAGTGGGAACCTACTATTAAAATTAAAATTAAAGATTATGAATGTTATGCTTTATGTGATTTGGGCGCTAGTGTTTCCACGATCCCAAAAACTTTGTGTGATTTGCTAGGATTCCGTGAATTTGATGATTGTTCTTTGAACTTGCACCTTGTGGATTACACTATTAAGAAACATATGGGAAGAATTAATGATGTTCTTATTTTTGCAAATAGGAACTATGTGCCCGTATATTTCATTGTCCTTGGTATAGATTGCAATCCTTCATGCCCTATTATTCTTGGTAGACCTTTCCTTAAAACGATTGGTATTATTGATATGAAGGAACGGAATATTAGATTCCAATTTCCGTTAAGGAAGGGCATGGAGCACTTTCCTAGAAAGAAAATTAAATTACCTTATGAATCTATTATGAGATTCACTTATGGATTGCATACCAAAGATGACAATACCTAGATCTATCCTTACTTTTATGCCTAGCTAGGGGCATTAAACGATTGCGCTTGTTGGGAGGCAACCCAATTTTATTTTTATTACTTGCTTTTTGCTCCTGTTTGGTAATAAATAATTTATCTAGCCTCTGTTTTGGTTGTGTTTTTTGTGTTTAATTAGTGTTTGTGCCAAGTTGAACCGTTGGGAAGACTTGGGAAAGTCTTTTTGATCCTGCTGTGAAAAACAGAAACTTTAATGCTCACGAGAATTGCTGCCATTTTTATTTGGAAAGTGCTATTTAGTTAATTATTTTTGAATATGATTAATAGATAAATTACTCACGTCTAGAAATTTATTTTAGAACTTTTGGGGTTCCAGAAGTTTGCGTTATCTACAGATTACTACAGACAGTTCTATTTTTAACAGATTCTATTTTTCGTGTGTTGTTTGCTTATTTTAATGAATCTATGGCTAGTAAAATAGTTTATAAACCATAGAGAAATTGTAATACAGTAGGTTTAACACCAATATAAATAAAGAATGAGTTCATTACAGTACCTTGAAGTGGTGTTTTGTTTTCTTTCGCTAACGGAGCTCACGAGATTTTCTGTTAAGTTTTGTGTTGTGAAGTTTTCAAGTTTTTGGGTAAATATTTGATGGATTATGAAACAAGGAGTGGCAAGAACCTAAGCTTGGGGATGCCCATGGCACCCAAGATAATCTAAGGATACCAAAAAGCCAAAGCTTGGGGATGCCCCGGAAGGCATCCCCTCTTTCGTCTTCGTCCATTGGTAACTTTACTTGGAGCTATATTTTTATTCACTACATGATATGTGTTTTGCTTGGAGTGCCTATGATTTGAGTCTTTGCTTTTTAGTTTACCACAATCATCCTTGTTGTACACATCTTTTGAGAGAGATTCACATGATTTGAAATTTATCAGAATACTTTATGTGCTTCACTTATATCTTTTGAGCTATATAGTTTTTGCTCTAGTACTTCACTTATATCTTTTAGAGCACGGAAATGGTTTTATTTTATAGAAATAATTGATCTCTCATGCTTCACTTATATTATTTTGAGAGTCCTTTAGAACAACATGGAAATTTGATTTTAGGAATAATATAAAAACCTTCATAGAAGTGCAATGAATACTATGCGAAGTTTGATACTTGATAATTGTTTTGAGATATGGAGATGGTGATATTAGAGTCATGCTAGTTGAGTAGTTGTGAATTTGAAAAATACTTGTGTTGAAGTTTGTGATTCCTGTAGCATGCATGTATGGTGAACCGTTATGTGATGAAGTCGGAGCATGATTTGTTTATTGATTGTCTTCCTTATGAGTGGCGGTCGGGGACGAGCGATGGTCTTTTCCTACCAATCTATCCCCCTAGGAGCATGCGCGTCATACTTTGCTTCGATAACTAATATATTTTTGCAATGAGTATGTGAGTTCTTTATGACTAATGTTGAGTCCATGTATTATACGCACTCTCACCCTTCCACCATTGCTAGCCTCTCTAGTATCGCGCAACTTTCGTCGGTACCATAAACCCACCATATACCTTCCTCAAAACAGCCACCATACCTACCTATTATGGCATTTTCATAGCCGAGATATATTGCCATGCAACTTTCCACTGTTCCGTTATTATGACACGCTTTATCATTGTCATATTGCTTGCATGATCATGTAGTTGACATCGTATTTGTGGCAAAGCCACCGTTCATAATTCTTCATACATGTCACTCATGCATCATTGCACATCCCGGTACACCGCCGGAGGCATTCACATAGAGTCATATTTTGTTCTAAGCATTGTTCAAGATATCTTCCGATATTCCGATAAATCGGCTGATCAATCGCTTACCTTTGTCTGACCGATAAGATAAATCGGCTGATAAATCGGCTGATATGGTGATAATCGGCCGATATGCCGATAAACTAGTCGATTTACCCCTTATCATGGGTCAACCGACAAGTTCCCGATAAGCGATATCCCCAACATTGGTTCTAAGTATTGAGTTGTAAGTAAACAAAATGTGATGATCATCATTATTAGAGCATTGTCCCAGTAAGGAAAGGATGATAGAGACTATGATTCCCCCACAAGTCGGGATGAGACTCCGGACGAAAAATAAAAAAAATAAAAAAAGAGAAAAGAGGCCAAAAAGAAAAAAAGAGAGAAAGGAGGCCCAAATAAAAAAATAAAAAAAGGAATGAGAGAAAAAAAGAGAAGGGACAATGTTACTATCCTTTTTCCACACTTGTGCTTCAAAGTAGCACCATGATCTTCATGATAGAGAGTCTCCTATGTTGTCACTTTCATATACTAGTGGGAATTTTACATTATAGAACTTGGCTTGTATATTCCAATGATGGGCTTCCTCAAAATTGCCCTAGGTCTTCATGAGCAAGCAAGTTGGATGCACACCCACTTAGTTTCTTTTGTTGAGCTTTCATACACTTATAGCTCTAGTGCATCCGCTGCATGGCAATCCCTATTCACTCACATTGATATCTATTGATGGGTATCTCCATAGCCCGTTGATACGCCTAGTCGATGTGAGACTATCTTCTCCTTTTTGTCTTCTCCACAACCACCATTCTATTCCACATATAGTGCTATGTCCATGGCTCACACTCATATATTGCGTGAAGATTGAAAAAGTTTGAGAACATCAAAAGTATGAAACAATTGCTTGGCTTGTCATCGGGGTTGTGCATGATTTAAATATTTTGTGTGGTGAAGATAGAGCATATCCAGACTATATAATTTTGTAGAGATAACTTTGTTTGGCCATGTTATTTTGAGAAGACATAATTGCTTAGTTAGTATACTTGACGTATTGTTGTTTTTATATCAATATTAAACTTTTATCTTGAATCTTTCGGATCTGAACATGCATGGCACAATAAAGAAAAATTACATTGAGAAATATGTTAGAAAGCATTCCACATCAAAAATTCTTCTTTTATCATTTACCTACTCGAGGACGAGCAGGAATTAAGCTTGGGGATGCTTGATACGTCTCCAACGTATCTATACTTTTTGATTGCTCCATGCTATTATATTATCTGTTTTGGATGTTAATGGGCTTTATTTTACACTTTTATATCATTTTTTGGACTAACCTATTAACCGGAGGCCCAACCCAAATTACTGTTTTTTTGCCTATTTCAGTGTTTCGCAGAAAAGGAATATCAAACGAAGTCCAAACGGAATGAAACCTTCGGTAACATGATTTTCTCAACAAACATGATCCAGGAGACCTAGAGTGGGAGTCAAGAAACAATCGAGGAGGCCACGAGGCAGGGGGCGTGCCCTCCACCCTCGTGGGCCCCTCGTTGCTCCACTGACCTACTTCTTCCTCCTATATATATCCACGTA